GAGGTTAGCTGTGCGCTGATGCAAATATACTGGAGAGTTAGTGTGTTTGTCTCCTGATTAACCTGCTGAACTGGACCTTGAGCACAGTATAGGCCAAGGAGGAATGGCTCCATCCCCTTATCCAAGTCCAATAAGGAACTAAAGGAGGGTCACTTCCAGTTCCTTTCTCTGCCTAAGGGGTATACCAAAACCTATATCTTTTGGTTAACATTAAGGACAGGAAAACTCATTTCCTTTCATTTCAGCTGGGATCCCGTACAAAGTTTTAATGTGGTAGGTGGAAAACACAAGCCCTTGTTTTTGAGCAGCAAGTTCTAAGAGGCACCAGTACCGCCCAGGTTCTGGGTTTGCTTTTCTCTGTTGTGCCACATGTTTTGTTGATCCTTCCAGAAGTACTTTTAAACGAGCACCTTCACTGTTTGTGCGCAGGCCCTCTCAGAGGTCGAGAGAGGCCCAGGCCACTTCCATTTTTTGGGGCTCCCAGTATACTAAAAAAATATTAATTCATAGTGCACTACAGGCAGTGTGGCCCGGTAATGGGACACAAGTTTAACGTTGTATGATGAACGTCTTCTTCTTTCAATCCTGTCAGTGTATCTCTGTGTCTGTATGTATAACCTCATTTGGAGATAAGGTCAAAAGTCTAAATTTGAGGCCCTCTGTGAATGAGGGGCCCTCCTGGCCCCCCCCCCCGTGATAGGTCTTGTTTGTGCGTCACAGGCTTCAATCAAATTAAAGGTGCAATGCATCAAATGCATTTGCTTGGGGAAATTTCATTTGCTTGCATTACATTAATTTGCTTGGGAAAATGATTTAATAGATTTCCCAGACATTAGGGCTGGAAGGGACCTTGGGAGATCATCGAGTCCAGCCCCCTGCCCAGCAAGATAAGTGTCCAAATGCTTCTTAAAGGAGTCCAGAGGAGGTGCTTGCACCACCTCTGGAGGGACCCTACTCCAGGCCTTGGGGGCTCGGACAGTAAAGAAGTTTTTCCTTATGATGATCAGAAATAGTCAGACATATCAGCAGTGCCTGCTAGAACAGTTCAGAATTAGAAAAGCCACGATGAAACCTGAAATCTTACAAACTTTTTATTCTCTTCTGACAGAATTTCATTGATTTGGGGGGAAAGTACAATGGAGACAGTCAGAATAACTAGTGAGGTTACAATATGCAAGTGATAGAAATGGGGCCTGGGGAGGAATTGATTGGGGTTAATTTACCACTCAGTCTAGAGGCCCTTTGTGGGGCTTGGTGTGTGTCAAGATGTTAATCTGCCCCGCGCAAGGTGCAGGGTGATAGTGGGGGCAGCAAGAACAGAGCTGAGCGATGTGCGAGCCTACAGAAAACTACATCTCCCAGAGCTCCCAGCACTGCCTCCTCCCAGCCCGGCTTTCCGGTTTGGAGGCTGATGAAACTGAAAGTGCTGCAGCGGCATCTGCTTCAGGGAGGCTGTTTCACCTTCAGCTGAGTAAGGAGCAGGGGATCAGGTGGCAGGCAGAGCCTTAGAGCCATAAAGCATGAGCGGAGTCGAGTCTGGCCTCTCTGAGGAAATGATCAATCTCACCAGAGGACCTTCAGGTACAGAGTTAAAGTTGGGGGGGCGGGGGCTGGGCTGGATGCTTTGCACATACTGAGATCAGGAGCTGCAGCCTCCCCTGGCTCTGAGCACCTCCCTGGATTCAGGGCTGCCAGGAAAGCCCCAGGCTGAGGCCTGCATAACCTCAGCCCTTGTTTCCAGCAGCAGAGACATTTGCAAAGACCTTCAGGATGGAAACGAAATCTCAGCAGGAGGCGGCAGTGAATACAAGCACTCTGAGCTCTCCTTTATGGCATGCTTGCAAGAATGCTCCCAGCCATGTGGCTTCTCGTGCTGCTGGGGAGGGGTTAACATTGCTCTGCGCTTGAAATTCACGTGTCCCCCCTCTCCTCCCGCCCTGCTTCCTTACTCAGTGACATGACAGAAGCATTTGCAGTGAGGCTACCTTGCTCTCTGGTTTGCAAATAAAAGATCTGCAATAAAATAATAGTTTTGACTGTGTGAGCGAGATGGAGAATGCAGCTGGATTGTTTTCCAAGGCAATATACGTGTGTGCATATCTTGACCATGTGCTAGTGTGCTTTTTAAAAGGAAGAACAACATGAGACTTAAGGTTAAACTGAAAGCTGTTTTTTTTTTTTTAAAACTGCAGTGAAAGTCTAGGAGATAAAATTGCAAGAGAGAGCAAACCTGCGAGGGAAGTCCTGGTGAGGTGCACATGTGGGACTCTGTGCTACCAAACAATTGATGAGGTGGAGGAGGGGAGGAAGCAGACAAGGTTCTTTGGGTGGATGTGATATCTTTTATTAGACCAACTAAATAGTTGGAAAGATTGCTCTTTGCAAACTTTTGGGCACAAACACCCTTCTTAAGGAGAGTCTGGAGTTGTTAGGCATTGCTCTTGCCTTCCTGGAAGAAATGGGTGACAAGAAGAAATGGGTGCTTCTGCTGCTCTTTTGTTTTTGCTGGTCCCATGAGCCCCAGTCCACAAATTAATTTTAGTGAGAAGTAGGCCCCAGACGTTTATGGGAGTTGGGTGCCTAAGTACTTTGTGGTTCTGGACCTTGCTTAGACTAGGGAGGGGAAATACATAAATTGGCTGATGTGATTTGAAGCTCTACCTAGGGCCAAGTGTAGGCATATTATAACAATGCATGTTAACTGGTCATTACTGTAACAGACAAACTGAGTTATGCTCAGGCTCTTAACATAACTTTAGGCCTTCCCAGAACTAAGCAATTACATTGTACAGAGTGCCTTATAAGGCACTGGGAAAAGTGAGTGCTATGATCTGTACCTGGTTAGCCCATAGTTTTCCTAAAAGGAAAGGAGACCAAAAACAGAATAGGATTGGAGTACCTTATCTAAAAAGATGAGGTAAGAAACTTGAGGATTGGACAGTTTGAGATGAGAAAGTTACAAAAGTAGTGGACAAATAAAGAGACAGCGTGTGTTTGTGTTGCCACCGTGGGGAGACAGGAGCAGCCTTGGAAATCTTGCTTTGAGTAACAAGGAATCCAGAAACTATCATCCCACACTCCCAGCTGAGGATCTGAGGCCGGTACCACCGAAGGTCGCTGCTGTAACGTCTAAGCAACCACTTGCCAGGTCATATTACAAGGATAATTATCTTGTAATAAGCCCTAGGGGTTACTAATAAAGTTTACTTGATACCAAATCGGATGAGGGGCCGTGTCAATCCTTGGGGGTCTCTGGTAAAAGGAATCCTGTGGGCAACAATTGATGAGCCAGCCAGGGGTCAGAGTTGGATTGATGGTGTCAAGTTGGGAACTACAGCGGATGGGCAAAGGTAATCTCTTGGGGTTTTTTTGCAAAAGTAATCCTGGGGGCAACAATTATGGCAACACGTGGGGGCGGGGAAAAAAGTGTGCTTTATCAGAAGAAGCAGCGCATCAGTTCAACCCAGCTCTGCACTGTCTGTATAGATCAGGTGCTTCAGTGGGGCTTTTATAGCTCTTTTATTTAAAGCTGATTCAATCAGCTATTAAAGCGCCAAAAAATCCCTGCTAAAGTGCCTGATTTATACAGAGGTTGGGCAAACCAGGTCCAATGCACACAATGCCTCTTCTAGGTATGTGATGGCCTAGGTGTGGGGGTGTGCTGAGTGTAAAGTAAATGCTGGTTTTTGACAGGTTTTTTACATCTCGTATGATCAAGGGACAGCAGGGTAGGTCCTATGAGGAAAGGTTGCGGGACCTGAACCTGTTCAGCCTTCAAAAGAGAAGGCTGAGGGGGGATCTTGTGGCCTGTTATAAAGTGGTTAGGGGGGATCAGCAGGCGCTGGGGGAGTCCCTGTTCCCCCGAGCGCCGCAAGGAGTGACCAGGAACAATGGTCACAAGCTGGCGGAGGGAAGGTTTAAGTTGGACATCAGGAGGCGCTACTTCACGGTCAGGGCGGCTAGGGTCTGGAACCAGCTTCCAAGTGAGGTGGTGCAGGCTCCCACCCTGGGGGTTTTTAAGAGGAGGTTGGATGACCACCTTACTGGGGTCATTTGACCCCAGTGCTCTTCCTGCCATGGCAGGGGGTCGGACTAGATGATCTGCTCAGGTCCCTTCCGACCCTAGAAACTATGAAACTATGAACTATCTGTAAGCAGCCAGTGTGACCTCAGATCTCCCCATTTAAAAACTCCAGTGGTTTCCATCCTGTTGATCATAGCACTCCATTATATTTTCTTGTATCCTGGCCTATGCTATAGTCACGCAAGGGCAGGCAATTATTTTGGGCAGAGGGCTGCTTATTGAGTTTTGGCAAGCCATCAAGGGCTGCATGACAGGCAGCCCAGGGCAGATTAATATTAATTTTCTACATTTTTTAGGGGCCCTGTGATCCGGATAGACTGGACTGGCAGGC